GAGTACCTGGCTCGTGCGCTTTTGATTTTCCACATTCAGGGTTACCATGGAAATCATCTTTCTCTCTCTCTCTTCTCGGCCGGTGCTGCTGATGTAGGTTAACAAGCGGACATGCATTATAGACAAAGTGGAGCCCAGGCGCACGCTTTCACTGTGTGAGATGCATTAGGAGCTCCTGTACTCTCGTGTGTCGTCACATGCATGCTCGGGACAGGAGAGCGCGTCCAATCGTTTGATGTGGACGTGCGTCACATTTATCGAGTTTATAGTCAACAGGTCGAAAGTGTGTGGATGTGTTTTGGGTGTTGAGACACAAGGCAGAAAGAGCTTTCGCAAAGTTTTACAGCTCGGCGCAGTGGCATTTTGGCTTTAGCACGAGAACAACTTGCACAAGAGAAATAGAAAAACCCTCATATATCTCAAATCATCTTTCCCCACTGAAATGGATAGAAATATATTTCCTCCTGTATGGGGGTGGGGGGGGGGCACAGAATGGGATTGGAAAAAAAAAACAGTTATTGTTTATTAGGATACAGATTAATTTATTGTTTGTGTTTGTTAAAAAAGAATACATGAGATCCTTGGAAACCGAAGCTCATGTTTGCGTGACGCTTATTCCTGAAAACAACCACATTGGGAAATAGAAATCAGCTTCTCTTCTCAAGGGAACTAATCACCAACCACACTGAGTCCTTTCTATTTTTTTTTTCTCTGGTCACATGTGTGGCAGCGATTCCGTGTGCCTTTTTCTTGGGTGTTGCGTTTCCGGGAATTAGATCCCGCCAACCCTTAAGGTCGGCATGCCCGGAACCTGAATCGTTGCGATCGATAAAAAAATGCACTGACGACATGAAATCCTCAGATACTCGTTGAAGGGCGACCAAGACTTTTTTTTTTTTTTGTCAAAGGGCATTGGAAATGTGACTACATCAAAATCACAGAGTTAGCGGCGTTAGCTTAGTTTAGCGTGAAGCATCCCTTGAAAAAAAAAAAAAACATTATCCAAACCATGCTAACACTCTTAGCTACATTCCAACACATTCTAAAACGAGTCCAAATTCAGTGATGATCGTGCAGCTCAAAATAACAAGCTAAAGAGGATTTAAAAAAAAAAAAAAAATTTTGTGTATGTATATTTTTTTGGTCTTAACACCCATGTCCCCCTGATTTGGATTTTTTAAATGCATATAATGCACAGAATTTTAGCAGTGAAGGCTTATAAAATCCGCCTTGTTAGCATCTCATGATCATTTGGCGTATTTGATGGCGTTCACTGTACATTCCTTGATCTGCATCAAGCATTTTTTTTTCTTAGCTACAGCTCCAGCTGGTGTATCCGGTGTCTCACTGCCCTTCTTGGCCCCCCACAATACATCCGGTCAGTCGGTGAAAATGAGTTTTGGATCTTTTTTTCCGGATGTGCACCAAAATGCCCTTCCCTTGCCCATTCAGCATCTCACCATTTTTTTAAGCTTCCGCTCATCAATCAGCTGATAACGATTTTGATACCGATCACATGGATTAGGTGCATATCACATCAGTTTTTAATTCTCGATGAATCTTTTTTTTAAAAAGTTGATGAATCACATTTTTAAAAAAAACATTCCATTCAAATTTTCATCCCTTTATTCTACAAAAACAGGACATGATTTCAAATGTACAGTGCAGAAAACATGTATGAAATCAATAAACAGCAGGCGGCGCTCATAATTGCATTTCCTCACTTCCGGCTTTTCCACTGGCCCACAAGATGATGATCACCTGATCGAGTATCCCATGTCAGCACTCAAATGCTAATATCCAGCCTTTGAAAATAAATGGAATTTTCCACAAGAAAAAAAAAAAAAAAAGAAGAAGAAGAAAGAGGACCCAGAGTGTGTGAAAGCAATGTCAAGCCTTCATTTAATGTCTTCAATCTCCACTTGGGCTTCTTATGTAATGGAATTGAAGCCTGCCCCCAATAACCCTGAAAAACAGACGAAGAAAAAAGAAAGGCTTTTAAAAACGTTGCCTTACTGTGAAATGTTTTCACTTTTGACGGTTCCAGTCGGGGCGGCCCGGTGGTCGACTCGTCGGCCTCACAGTCCAGAGGTCATGGGTGCGGCCTCGGGCTTCCTGTGGGGATTTTTCATATTCTCCCCGTGCTTGCGTGAGTTTTCCCCGGGTACTCCGGTTTCCTCCCACATTCCAAAAACATGCATGGCAGGCTGATTGAACATTCTAAAACTAAATTGTGAGCACAGATGATTGTTCGTCTATGTGTGCACTGCGATTGGCTGGCGACCAGTTCAGGGTGTGTGTGTTCCCCCCCCCCCCCCATACAGCTGGGATAGGCTCCAGCACCCTTGTGAGGATAAGCGATTTAGAAAATGGATGGATGGTTCCAGTCGGGCAGCACGATGGTGAAGTGTACAGCAGATCTCACAGCACAGAGGTCATGGATGCGATTCCCAGGTCTCCCCGTACCTGAGTGGGTTTTCTCCGGGTACTCTGTTTTCGACCGACTAGATGGGAGTTGAGATTTAAAAAAAAAAAAGAAAATCTGTTCAAATGAATTTTCACTTTTCGTCGTTACAATCTACTTGCATCGAGGGGAGCGAGGCGGTGACCAACCACACGGACCGATGGAATTTGTGTCCCGAAACTCTTGTCCGTCCCCGAGTGTCATGTGACAGTCATTGCATAATCTTCATCATAGTGCCATGCTGACCTCAGCAAAGGCTCGCG